TTATCATTTTTTTCTTTCTTTCTTCTTTTCTCTTGTGCTTGTTGTCGAAAGAACTAACATCTCTATTTTCTATCTTTCATTTTTTTTGTTCTTTGTTCTTTTAGTCGTCATCGTCAACTCCTCCTATTCCTCCTATCAATATAGTCCTCTGTTCTTCTTTATATTCTCTTCAGCGGTGCGCTCTCTTCTTCATATTTTTCTCTTACTATTGGTTCTTCATTATGTCATTCTGATTTCCATCATTGTTTGTCTTCAGTTCTGGTTTCAGTTTTCTTAGAAATAAAGTCAAATTTCTTCACAAACAATGGTTTACCCAAGAGATCCAAACAATCCTTCCGCTCAACCGGTAGCTAAAGGCATCCAAGTTGTCCTTCAAGAGCGGGGACTTTGGGATTTCTATTCAAAGCAACGATCTGATGCAAAATTACCACCTCTCAATCTCAAGTGCGCTACCTGCCAACTGTCTGTGCAAAAGAGAGACGCTGCAAAGAGATCAGCAGTTCTTATCAGTGCTGCCCTTGCCAAAGGTTACTTCTTAACTGAAGACCAAGCATGCAGCTTGGAATCTCCTGAAAACCTCGCACCAGCAACGGTGCCACAGATACAAGACATGTATTTGTATCAGATTGTATCGTATTTATTTTGAGCCTGATACCGGTATCAGTATTTCCTTGGTTGGTGAAAAAATACATTGTATCGGATTTGGATTTAAAAATGAAAAAAAAAAAATTGTCTTCGTTTTTTTCGTTTTTTCTTCAATACAGCCAAGTATCTTATGTATCAAATACGGTTTTGGTGGGATCAGTCATCTGAGACGATACAGAATACATTTCTCACTTTTCAAATACGATACATGTATATGTCTCAGGAAAGTGAGACAACACAAATCCGGTATTTTTGGGTATTCCAATTCTGAGACGATACAGATTAACGCCTGATACCGTATCGTATCGTCTCTGTGGCACCGTTGGCACCAGCCAATAATCAAGGACCTCAAGTCCTGGACAATACATCAACTACCTGTTGCTGGTCCAAGATCATGTCACTTCAATTGGACTTTGTTAATGAGAAACCTCTTCTCCAGACCATCATTGAAGACGCTGGTCACATATGCCTCTTCCTGCCAAAGTTACATTGCAAGCTAAATCCAATTGAGCTCTTCTGGTCCTAAATCAAACGAGGTACATTTTTTCTCATCTCATTCCTCCTTCAATACAAAACTAAACTAACATCATCTAACTATGTATCAGCCTTCAGATTGCAAAGCCACAAATGCAGAACTTTTGCTGAGGCCAAGGATCTGTTTGAAGACTGTCGCAAACAATGTCCCCTGTCAACAATTCGAAAGTACTTTTGTCGAATTGATTGTCAGCTTTCCGTGTACGATGTGGAACTACTCTTGGGAGGAATAGAGCTTGAGAGGGATGAGTGCTTTAATGGGCTGCCTCTCTGATAACAAGAAAATATAAGAGTATGGACTCTTAAGGAAAGGTGTGGCTTTGGAGATTTCTTGAGGATGGTATGTCTAATGCTTCTTATGTTTACTAGTCTAAATATACTTGTTCACAAATCAAGGTATCCCAAATGTTGATGGGCAAATACCTGGCTAATAATGGGTGATCAGTTATCTGAATTGCTGGGGCAGGATCTGATGAGGAACAAATGAAGAGGAAAAACAAAGCTCCTTATATACAAAATTCTGGGGAGTGGCCAGCTTGTGGTTGGAAGATAAGTGGAACATTCTATGAATAGTATGAAACAAGGGAAAATATTTAACCACAGAAACAGGGGAAACAAGCAGTGTGAAAATGCTCCCAAGGGTACTAGTATGAAACAAATGAGGGGGGAATATTCCATGGAAGGAGATAGGAGGAAATAACTGTTTCATGGATCAGGGGGATTGTTACTAGTGTGAGACACAAGGGGGAGAAAGAATGGAATTGTTTGGAGGGGAGCAAGTTTCAGGAGTGGGGAGTTTCTGGCTGGGAAATATTATTATCCATGTGGTCTGTGTTTGAGGGGATTCATGACTGGTGTATGGATTGGTTTGAGGGCCTGGGAAATTCCTGAGGGGTCTTGATCCTGTGATTCTTGTGTGATTTGTACTCTTGATAACTTTGAATTTTCAGGAGTGGCTTACCACAACGAGTAGGTCATGTTGTGATTGATCCCTCCAATTCTCTTTTTCTGACGATATTTCTATAACTCTGTCCAACAAACAGGAAAGGTCTTACAGGTACTCAGGCGGAAAAGATGATGAAAAAGTACAGCTCACATCGGCGGATCCCAAAGAACGCCATGATGAGCTTAGATGTCATCAACAGTTGATGATTCATTTCCTCTACCTACAACTTGCTATGTATAAGCAATACACATGAACTTGTTTCTCTTATCCTTTCCCTCTGACCAAGACCAATCTGCTATGTTTCTTCATATTATAATGTCTCTTCATTAGACATACTTAAGCCGATTGGCTTAGCTTCACCAGACCGGTTTGCCCCAGCCTGGGGTCTCAGCTGGTGTCAGGACTTGGGGGACAGCCTGTGCATAAGTGCATAGACACAGATTTAAAAGCATATTATGAGTTTTAAATCCATAGTATGTGTTTTAAGTACATACTATGCGTTCTAAATGCATAATTTCTATATGCATATGTATATACTAAAGAGAGGTTCCAAATTGTTTGTTCTAAAAAAAATCAATAAATAAAATGGTTGGACAGACTTGTGGGTCATATTTTCCGAAAGCCCTAAGTCTGTAGAGCTCAAAAAACATACTTTCGAAGGTTGAAACGCACATGCCTGAATGTTATGGGAGCCCGCGCGAACTTTTTTTTTTTTCAGGCGCGGGTAGTTGAGAGGTGCCTTTGGGCACTGTATCTTATGTACATATAAAATAGACATAGATTACATATGCTATGGGGATAGAATGTGTAATAATGTCTTTAAATATTTAAAATGCTATGGTTAGGTTGTCTCTGAATGGTAGCAGGCTGACAGTATGTGAGATTGGACAACTTGCCTTGCAGACCAGGTGCCTCAATTGGAAGGGCGGGGTGGGTTGGTGTGGCGCACAAGCCCACAAAAATGGGAGGACTATGCCTCCTTCTCCCGCCGGGGGCTTAGATAATGGCCAGACCCTAAATCTGTCCAAGCATCCTGCAGTCCAACCAGCATTGCAACAGTGACTGTGCACCCTACCACACAGCCCTGGAAGTGGAAACCAGCTACAACCCTTATGGCCTGTACCCTAGAAGTATTAAGAATGGGGTTTTTTTCCAAGAACATTTTGTCTTGTTTTAACCTGGGGGCAATCCTCAGGGGGCTTAAGATTGGACAAGTGTGTGCAAATCTCAATGGCCAGGAGGGCCGTCCAGATTTGTATGAAGGCCTCCCACAGCTGACCTCCATTTCCCTAGGTTTCTTTTGCTTTTTTATTAAGATATCTTGGGAGCCAACTCCCATTTCCACTGCAGGAATGGGAGGAGCAACTCAACAAGTTTAGGGGGACCTCAAAATCCACGAGACAGTCCCCATGGGGTCCTCCTGACAAATCCCAAATTTGGGAGTTGATTGACCAAGTCCTTAACTAATTAGCATATGGAATAGGCTGTAATTAACTATAGGAGGGTTCAACACAATTTTTAAAGCCCATTTTAAGTTGTTTCTCAATAACTTCATGAAAAAATGAAAAACATCTTTCTGATTGTTCAGAAGCCGTTAAATCTGTGCCTCTTGTCAAAAATTAACAATGTGGCTGATAAGGACCTTAAAATTGACTATAAAGACTTTATAAATTTCAATTGTGAATCCCCCCTAATGGATGCTGAGAAGAGCATCTCAACTGTCATGAATAACATCATAAATAAATGTTGAAATTAAATGAAGAATCAAAGGAAGATTATGGAAAACATACAAAGAGACAGGAGCTTGATCCTCACTTGAGGTGATGGAAAATTGATATGAAATTGTACTGAGCGGAGAAGTCAGGATAGACTTCAAGATGATATTTGCCTACCAGCTAATAAGGGAGAAAAAGGGAGATCTGTCAGTTCTATTCTGGGATTCCCTTTGAAAATCACACTCCGCATATTGAGAAAATAAACTCAAAAAACCTGAACGAATACCACTTGAGCCCATCACTGGAAAGCTGAATATGTATACATACAGCATCTCCTTTTTATTATACTATTTCCTCCAACACCAGGCTTACTGACTCCCAGATCTCAAGAATGATGAAACCAAAAATCAACATGACAGCCGTAACAGTGCTCACATTTTATGGGCTCTCTCAACTTCAGATTTATGAAGCTTCCATTAGGACGGTTCACGTCTGAACTTAGGCAAATTTAATGACATTTATCATTAAAATTTTACAAATTTATCAGAAATCTCAAATTCCTCTGAACTTGATGTTTCATGAAATTTTACAAAATTCATAAAATTTTATCTTCAAGTTCGTTAAAAGTGGCCTTAAACTCCAGACATGAACTGGCCTATTGAACAGCTTCTAAGTTATAATCTTTCAAACAAACTGCATTTCTAATGACATACTCTAGCAGCAACAAATAAAGTGAATCGGAGACTGTCAAAAATGAAGGCATGTCTGTTCGTAGCTTGATCAGTCAAGATGAGTTTACATGCAAATAAAGTGAGAGAAGTTATGACCAAATGTCAAGGTGGCTTTTTCTGTTGTTTGAAGTATACCAAACGGCTAAAAAACTTTGAAACATCAAGCTCATCTAGTGCCTGTAGCCTCCCATTAGCCAGACTCAATAATTCATTTCAACCCTAGATACCTTTAAAGGTACATACACTCCTCAGAAACAGATGTTCTTGAGAAAGATCTTCCAGAGCTTCAAGATGTTGGATTATGAACATTTGGACTGGATTCTTGTGCCCAAGGAGTGGCGGATAGCTCTGCGCCGCTGTCTTACGGGTCCCCCGAAGAAGTCCCGTGTCACTACCAACTTATTCCTCCAACCATGATCGAGTAGGATGCTCAGAGATATAGAACGCATACATCGTGGTAAACGAGGATACCAAGATGGCCAAGATGTGAGTAATCAAGCCTCACTTTCCCCTCACTTTCCAATCCAACTATCTTCCAAGGAGCCTCAATATGAGCTGACGCGTTCGTTCTCAAAAGTCTAGTGATCAAGCCCAAACCAGGACGATTCAAAGCTTTATTCGCCAAGCTAACGACGATCAACAAGAAGAATGGACCGTTCGATCTGGTGATCTGTGTCTCTGATCTCTTCAAAATTCCCGAAAATGACGAAGAACAGGAAGAGTTGGACGATTTGATTGCCCAGAATGTCGAGGTTCCTGTTAGGACTTTCGCAATGCTTGGCTCGTTCAAATTTCCCCCTAAGGTTCAGGAACTCTTGGATAAAAAGGATGGCTCGATTTGTAATAACCTCGAATTATTGGGTTCGTTAAACCAACAACCAATTCAGTTCACAAATCAAAATTCTCACTAAAACCAAAATCAAACTATGTAGCCCCCAACAGTATCCTTACCTTGTCAACGGTGGCTAATTTACGCATAGCAAACTTCGGAGGAGTTTACGAACCAACAAACTATAATAGTTCGACAGAAGATCTAGACACTCAAGTCAGTTAGAGAAAATTTCAGATTTCCTTACTTCTTGAGATTCTCATCTTGATCAGGATTGACAAGACGATTTTTACTCTTTGTCATAATTTAGTCGACTACGAATTACATCCACTCAGGACAACTATCGAATTTTTTAACTAAAATAAAATCGATTTCTACTACGAATAATGACAATCCTGGTATCGACATACTCCTGACACATTCGCTACCTCAGCTATTGACGGTCAACTCGGAAGTGTCTCCTAAGGATTACAATGCGCCCGCCTGGGGATGTCCTCCGATCACCGAAGTCCTAAGGGCCGCCCAGCCTCGATATCACTTCTCGGGAGGCGCGGTGGCCGAATTTTGGGAACGTGAACCATGGCTTTGGGATCCACCTTCAGCCCCAGTCAAAGCGCCTACAAACGATTATCCTAGCATCACTCGGTTCGTCAATCTCGGTCAGTTCGGCAACGAGGCTAAAGAAAGGGTAAGAACGCGTATCTTATTTCAAAAAGAACAACTCACAAACCATACATACCATTCACTGCTGAGAGACAAACCTAAAAAATATCCAATCAGTGGTTTTACGCCTTCAATATAGTCTCGATCTCCGAGGCAAAACCCACGAAACCCCTCAATGCAACTCCCTCTCCTTACTCCCTCTCAACGCGTCCAAACCAAAAGCGTGGGCTGCCTGCTTTCGGGGAAGACGGGTTTGATTCGGGGCCTAACTTTAGGTTCGGTGAGATGGAGCCTAACAAGAAGAAAACTCGGACGGGTGAGTGTTTAGATTTATTGCTGAGGAATGCACCGATCACCGTTTGTTCACTTCAATTGATTCCATTCATTATTCTTCAGGCGCCCCACCTTCAAATTATGTTTGTAAGATCTGTCAGACTTCGGGACATTGGATTCAAGAATGCCCCGAGAAAGTCGAGAAACCTCGACGTTGAGTTTCCTCCACTCCCTCCGTCTCAAGCCACAATCTCATTAGAATCATTTCTCATCCTGCCTCGTTTTTTGTCCTCTAAATTAATATAGAACCCAAGGATGGCTACGTTTGTCGGATCTGTAATACACCCGGACATTTGATTCAAGATTGTCCTGAAGCTGCTCAACGCAGTGGTCCTCCTAAGGACGCCTTTCAACCCAAAGAAATCGGTCCTGTACGTTATTTTGCTATTGTTTTTTATTATGGGTAACATTGCCTCTCCTAGTTGGACGCTTAGTGACCGATGTTCGGTTGATTTTATGTATGATCATTGGTTCTATGCAGGATTCATGCTGGTTTTGTCTCTCTAATCCTCAACTGGCAAAACATCTTATCGCATCCATCGGATCCGAAACGTATCTCACCTTACCAAAGGGACAGCTACCAGATACGACCAACAATTGTCCCGTACCCGGTGGTGGTCACGTTTTGTGTGTGTCTCCTAGATCTTTAAATCTCTGCTTAAGTTTCCATTTTCTTCGTCTTTTTTTTATCTTCGGGAACAATATCGCTTACGTCGAGTATCTTTGGCCATGCTTTCTGTTTAGTAATACCGGTTAGTGACTGAAATGTATCGCAAAGCATACACAATAGTGTCAATATCCTTACCTCAGCTTTGTCTCATCTTGTTTAATTAGATTGCGCATTACCCCAGTCTTCTTGCGCTGCCGTCCGAACTGGCGATCCCAATAGTGGCCGAGATGGAGCACTACAAATCGGCATTGAAGCGATGCTATGAAGCCTACTCGGCGAGCATGGTAAGTTTCGAGGTAGCCAAGCTATCGGGTCGAGGGGCTAGAGCGGGACATGCGCATCTGCAAATATGTCCGGTGCCCAACGAACTCGCCGATCAAGTGGAGACGATGTTCGTCGAGGAGGGCAAGAAACAGGGGATTGAGCTCGTCGATGAAGTAGCGTTGAAGGAAATGAAAGACGAGATGAAGGAGGCTATTAGTTATTTTCGAGTCGGGCTTCCTGATGGTAAAGGATTGGTTCATTTGATGAAACCCGACGAGAAATTCAACCTCCAATTCGGCCGGTAAGTCTTCAAAAAACCATATCACCTGCTTATATCCTTCATCAATCAAAAAAAAAATCCCAGGTATTGAACTTTTTTTGGTTTTGTTTTTGTGTTTGGATATAGGATAACTCTTGCTAATCTGTTGGGAACTCCTGATCGGGCTAATTGGAAGACATGTGAAAGAAGTGAGACAGATGAGAAGCAAGATTGTCGGACATTTCAAAAAGTGTTTGCTGCTTTTGAACCCAAGTTCTAAGACCTTTTCATCTCTTAAGATTTTTTTTTACTTTTTGAAACCCCGTTTCTTTCCTCTGAACCACTCATCTGGACATCATTCATTGGTTTTTTCTTCTTCTCTTGAATTGATCACTTTCACCCCCCACTGCTGGATTTTCTTTTGTCAGTAACTCAGAGGCAAATTAACTGTCTTCCTCAAACAAAATCAATGAGTGTTGGTGACACTCAAATTGTCCTGATTCATGTTGGAGTCTCAAGGACCCTTTCAGATTACCTTCATATCATTTGTGTGTTCACTGCTTGCAAGTGTTTGCAACTTCATGGAACAACAAATATAATCACTCTTTGAAAGGTGTGGTGAAATGGGCAGAATCAAAGAATCTGAAGATATTTACAATCTCTTTAATCAACCTTCCCAGCCTTGTTTTTCTACTGAATATTCATTCAGAGATCACATTCTGCCCCACCCTTTTAACAGGAATCAGAGCTTTAATAAGTGCCCCTGAACTCTGTATGGCATTCATTCTGATGACATACATACATGCAATGGTGTTTGAGAATAATCATTCATCACTAGAAGACTCATACAACATGTGTTATGCTCTTGAGCACATGATGTCTGATATGGATATCTGTGTTTTTGCCAGTGCATTGATTTTTCTTCTTCTGCTTTTCATCTGATCAATTGGAAAGTTGTGAGATCCAAAAAGGAAAATCATAGCATTCATTTTAAGGGTTTTTTTTGCATCCAAATTAATCAGTTTTCATTATCCTTATTTTTTCATTTTTTTCAGCTATGTAATCCCCTGGACCAAGTTGAAAATTCAAGCACTAAATGTACATGCCATTCATCTTGGCCATATGAAACCAGAGAAACATTGCTGAAAGAATAGGGTTGTTGGTGGTATCATTTAAAACAAAAAAGTGTTTGAAGGCAAGCAAAGTAGTGTACAGTTACAATAAACAGCTTGAGCAGCAAATGAGGAAAAGAAATTGATTTCAAGACTGGCTAAAAATCGCACGTGAAGAGATCTGCAAGTACCAACGAAGCCCGGATAGGAAGCTGGGAAATTTGCATGGATTTAATAAATACATTGAGTGCCGGAATGATGATGTTTAATAAGTTTTTAGTGACGCTTCAAGTATTATTTTTTTTGGTATTTTTTGTGCAGTTCAATTCGTCCAAAGGTGTTCTGGTAGTTTCGTTTGAACGAGATTATGATTGCACTCTCGATATTTGGATACGAGTCATGGAATGGAGGGCCCTCTGCTCGAGTTCAACTTGAAGCGAAGAGGGTGGGGCCAGAGGTGATTTTAACATTGGGTTAGCAGAACCGCTTCGCCAGAAGCCATGCATAGCCCGCCGAAGAGTTGCTCAACTCGAAGCGAAACGATTCCATTAGCGCCGCGTCGACTACATATCGTGCAGGAAAATTGCAAGACAAAAGACTCGAGATGGTCAATTATCATCCACGTTTCATTTATCATTTGGGAAGTTGATAATGAATTTACCAAGCCTCAGTGATTATGCTTTTGATTGCCTGGTTCATCTGATGACGGTCGCTCGACGGATTCGATCCGTCAGCTTGCCCTTGGCTTGGATTTTGTCGGGAATTAGCTTCCACTTTACCCAGATGGTACACGATCTTGGAGCCCGGCTGTTCGGCCAATTCGGTCAAGAAGAATTCGCCATCCAGTGGACTCGCTCCGGCTTGTGAATGGTTGTTATTGGTCATCGCAGACTTGCTTGATTTTAGGACTTCTCAATCAATAATGAATGTTCGGGATAGACTATCGAGAATAGATGGCTTGACTCGTCGAAGAACTGCCTGCCTCCCGATGTCAGCCGCCAATCGGTACTATTATATGCTTGTTCAAGGGCTGCACAGGTGATCCTTGCTGTGGAACATTGGCACACAGGCCCAATCATATCTTACATAAACATTTTGAAGTCACCTGGGCACAGGGCTCAAGATGTGTGGGGTTTAAAGGGTGTGTGTAAGGGTTCAAGACGCACCTGGGTTGAGGGCGTGGTGGACAGGCTTTGTCGGCCGCAAGTGCTTGAAGCTGTGGGGAAGTTTGATAAAGGAGAAGAACCTTTGGAATTATGTACGGGTCAGTGACTCGAGTCGCCCATGTTTTCTGCGTTTTTTCTTCCTCAATGAAAAACTGTCCCAAGGCTCGGCTCGTGACATCGGCCCCGCTCCGACAAGGATCGATGGAAATCTACCATCCTGATATTTATGTATTCGTGACTGCTTAATGGTGATCACGATTCAGGGCAACAATTAACAAACATGAGTTTGATTGAGGTAGATCTACATAGTTCTCGGGTAAGCTTACCAATGTATTTATGCATATCGATGGATAATCTGTTGACAAAAAAGCATCGCAGGCATCGCGTTTTGTTCTTATCTGTACTTACGATTTTGTCCATCCATGGGAATAAAACTCAGAGCTGATTTCGAATTCCACAAAAACTTGTGAACTGATAAGAAAATAACCGTGGCAGTTTTGCCAGGAGAGTTCCTGGGGTCCAAAACGATAGGGAGAAGGGATGGGGCCCTGCAAGTTTGACAGACACACAAGCAAGCGGATTTCGCCAACCTTGCTCGTGTGCCACAGAAGTCATGATCCATTTATGGACCATTTACAATCGACATGGGCGCAAACAGATGAGAGTCGGTGACACAAATGCCCATGCAAGACAGCTCATGAAAAGGATTTTTCAACTAAACGGGTTTCATAATAATTGACCATTGAACAAACGCCAAAGCTAACAAGATCTTATAAGAGAAACTGACCAACACTCGATGATGGTCAGTGTATGCGCAACATACTAAAGAAAACAAGAAAATATATGTATGATCATGAAGGAGCAAAGTAATCAAGTGGAAGAAGAAAAATACCAGATGCATATGTATAAGCTTTGCATTTTCAAGCAAGAAAAAAATAAGCAGATTTCCAGAATGTCTTTCTCACCATCAATGTGAGAAAGATTAGAACTGATAAAGATTTGCGTTTAGACAGATGTGTCTAAGTCGGAGGAGTATGTTCAACTGTGGACTTTTGATATCCTGGCCGCGAACAATTGTTGCGCGTTGGGTAGTGGCGTCTTTTCATTTGGTGCTTTTTTTGGTATCTTCTTCTTGATTGTTTTGAGGGTTATCAAAGAGACTGGACGTGCTGTTGATTAGGTTAAGTAAGGATATGGTTGGGTGAGATGATTAGAAGACAGAAAACGGGTATAGCATGTTTGAAGAAAGAAGATCCAAAAACGAAAAAAGGAGGACATATGAAAATAAGACGAAAATAACAAGGGGTGTGAGCGAAAACCGGGACGACTGACAAATTATAAAGTAGGCTAATAAACCAACAACAAGAAATGAGACTGGGGCGGTAAAATCAGTTTGGAGGAATAATGGGGGAACAGTGAAATGCGAACAAGGCCTTCAAATGAAAAGACTGGAAGTATGTATTTACATAATACAAACATGCAAATATATAAATACTCTTGGACAGGTGACTCTATCAACTGTTGTGAAATTTAAGGGTGATATAAAATTCCAGCGACATGAGGAAATTCAAGCAAAGAAAGGACTTGTTCAACTCGTGAATAGATTGGCTAAAACTGATGGAATGACTTGAATCACTGAGGTGAGGATTTAATGATGGACTAAGACGACCGCCTCACCAGAAGCCACATAGCTTCCATCCTTTAAATCATGCACTCTGAGAGAAACAACTCCATTTGCGCCGCGTCGACTGTGAAAGATTTCAGGTCAAAACAGGATAGATTCAATGGGTCAATAGCCCATTCACCGGCAGTATTTTGATGAGGTTTGATGTGAACTTAATTGCCTACCTAGCCTCAGAAATCATATTTTTGACTGCCGAATGCATCTCATTACGGTCATTCAACCCTGCCTTGAGAGTATCGATCCGCTGGGGGTGACTGGCATTGTCTCTGGAACTGGCTTCGACTCGGCCCAAATTGTCGACGATTGTAGCCCCCTCGTGTTCGCGCCTTTCGGTGATGACAAACTCGTCATCGACTGAATTTGCTTCGGCTGGATAATCACAGCCATCTTGGGAAGATGACCTTCCACCTTCATTTTGACTTGCATACATATCATGCCTGCCTGCCATGCTATAAAGTGATTTGGAATTACCAAGCGAGTTGCGATTTGATGGGTTGAGAGGCGAATGGCTATTATTCCTGGAATCCCGGCCTTCTAAGCCAGAGTGGTGACTACTTGAGGTCCCACCTCGACTGCTAGACCTTGATGCGTCTCTAGGGTCCCGGTTCATCGAAGACTGGCGCCGAAGACTACTGGATGGTGACGCACCCCCCATGCGAGTACTGGCAGGACGCCCATCGGCCGGATGGGATTGAAGTGCCTCAACATTCGAGCTACTCATATTGGCATAGAGGCTGCCTTGGTGCTGACCGGATAATGCTGCTAGCTGCTCTCGATCGACGTCTCCCGGCTGGATATGTTGAAGGTTCAATGACATGTTTGGCATCATCGACGGATCAACTTGACCACCAGCGAGCATCATCTCTAATGCTTCGGTAGGAAGACTAGATAGAGATTCATCTGTCAAATTATTGTATTTGTTGCCGATGAAACTGGGTCCTGGTATGCTTTCCTTAGATAGTGGTCTTGAGGAATGTGCGGTACTGCTTGATCGAGACCTACCATCAGGACCAACTTCTGAGCTCACGTGATGTGGGACACCTCGTAAAATGGATGCGTCCATCTGCTCAGCGATAGTGCTAGCACGTGAGCGTCTCACTGGGTTGGGGTTTATTGGACTGTGATCAAGGTCAGGGCGATGGTCCGACATGTGATGGTCGATAGGGGTTTGGAACGATTCTCCATGTGCCAACCCGTCATAATTTCTATCGACATTGCTGGTTCCAGGCATGTTCAACCTAGAAGCTGGTCTTGAGCTTCGGCCGTGGTCACTTCCAGCTGGTGACCGGCCCATCGCTAGGTTTATGTACCGTTCATTCGACATCCGGCACTGAGGGCTGGTTCCATGGGACTGTGCAGTACTGTTTGATCTAGATCTGGCACCGGAACCAAGCTCTGAAGCTGCATGGCGAGGACCACCTTGTAAAATCTCCGACTCCAACTGTTCGGTGACAGTGCTAGCACGTGATCGTCTTCCTACGTTGGGGTTTAATGGACTGGGATCAAGGTCAGGGCGGTGCCGGGCCATAGGATGATTGTCATTCATTTGACCTGCACGACTGCTGGCACGAGATCTACGACCACCATTGATTTCACTATTCAGGGCGGCACTGTGAAGTCGTGCAGAGAGGGATGCGTCAATGGCTGAAGCATCACTTCCTGAAATTTGTTGGGAACTTTCAGGTTCCAAATCCCGTCGCGGAAGGCTCAGAGGAGGACCATTGGCGTCTAGGCAGCGAGATGGCGGCCGATTTGCAAGTCGCGAAGGGCCAGGACTATTGTTACCTTGACGTGTGCTGCTACTTCTGGATAAAGAAGTTGGGGCATGGCCATGATCTCTCAAGCTAGATCTGGAAGCCGATCTCATGCTTGCTCGACTATGATCCTCTCTGTATAATTGGTTCGCCATTTCTTGCAGAATATGTTCTCGAGTTTTGGGTGTGGGTGCCCGACACATCCCTACACCGCCGGTTGGCTTGTAGTGGGCTTGCAGGCTGATGATTTCGTGCTGCAAACGGGGATTTAAATCTGGAAATTCAGTCCACATGTCGTCCAATAAGTGTTCTGCTTTGATTTTTTCAACAGATGGTCGGGTGATTCCCATGGGAGGGGCTCTCCCTTCGTTCGCAGCTTTCCGAATTTCCCGTTCTGCTTCCGCCAAATCCTTATGGCGACTCTCACGCTCCAGTCTTTCTATCTCATTTTGTAAAATCTGGCGATCATTCTCTTCTCTTCTTTTCAGCTGATCGGTCAATTCCCGTTCTTGTAAGCCCTTCTCCTTCAAGATGTGAAGATATTCTTCCTCGCGCTCTGCACGCAACTCGGCTTCATTCATGCATTGAATGTGTTGAGCTAGCTTTGTAGCTTCAGCTTCAATTTGGTGCTGGTGTAGCCCACGTTCTCTGAGCCGAGCTATCAATTCACGTTTCCTCATCTCACGCAGGGCATGCATCTTGAAATTATGCTGCATAGCATTCTGATCCAGTTTTTCGAGCTTCTTCCTTCGCACGAGTTCAGCTTGAGCGCGTAAAATCATTTGAAGAGCCATCGGCTCATCATGGTTGCGGGAGTCGCGACTTGGAGGGTGCATCCGTTGATGATCGAGGTGATCCGAAAGACGAAGGCCGCGTTCGTGTAACATATTGTTGTGTGGTCCCCATTCTCCTCGACCCATATCAACAGGATAAGTTGAAAAGCTTTCTGACCTGCCGCGCAATCGTGTTTGAGGCCCCATCGGCATACCATCGTGATGGTCAAAAGTTGGCTGTGGACCTGAAGGGGACATGTACGTATGTCCTGGCATCGACATAGGTCCCGGCATGTGCATATGACCAGGCACCGACATAGGACCAGACATTGGCATGTGATTACCCGGCATTGGGATGGGACCAGCCATCGGCGTGTTCCCCCGCATGGGCATCGATAATCCATCAGGGGGTATAAATGATGGGGGTTGGGGCATATGTGCAGCCAAACGTTCATCGATTTCAGATTGACCACTGGCGCGATCCAATTCTCGCAGAGCGTGATCCTAGAAAGTCGAAAATGAAAAGGTGCAGAGATTCAGTCTCATGTCTGATCATCTCACAATCTGAGGTAAATGCCAAAATCTATTGGAATGAGGATGGTGAATTCGAATTTACGTTCGACTGTCGGGCTAAAAGCTCAGCTTTCATCCGTTCTCTTCTTACTCGAGCAAAATCCGCCTCGTTCAAGGATTCTTGGCCCATGCGCTTGGCTAACTCCAGTTTAGCCAATTCAATCTGCTTCGATTCGGCCATTTGACGTTCGCGCATTGCCAACTCATGTTCCTGCAAGGGGACGAGACATTTAGCAGACAAATTCAGAGCACTTCTGGGTTATTGTTCGTAGCAAACCTTTGTTTGAATCTCAGCCTGGGACGACAATACAAGAGGGCAGTGACACATCACATTAGAAGATGCTCGAAAGGGTGAATAATTGGAAGGTATAAAAGAGCGACAGATTACATACCGATAGCGCCATCTCATTTAGAGTTTGGGTCTTAGCCTCCAGCTTGCGAACCTGATCAAGCTGAGCAAATCGAAAGAAAAATTTCGTATGATAATTAGTAACAATGAAGTTCATGGTGTGATCTAAAACGAAGTAAAGGAGGGAAGTGAGATTTTACAAGATGAAGCTTTTGTTTAACTTCTGCTTCTTTCCGCTCGGATTCCTCAGCAACCTTTTTTCTCTCAAATTCGAGATAGCTTTGATCAGCGGTCTTCGGTCTCCTGTGAAAACGAGGGTATCCGAGAGAATAAAATGTGAGAAAAACGGCGTATGTTGAGGGGAAAGAAAAATCGTGTAACGCCACCGGAACATGCGGACTGAACGAACCAGGTTTTGGCACCGACATGGAAAAACGACGACCATCCACTGGAAGAAGGCATGGTTTCTAACCGCTAGGGGATTAATCTTAGGAAAACCTTAAAATAAAATAAAACAAGATGTTGGTCTCCCGAGGAGGATAAAGGGAGAAAAATGGTGAAGGGAAATATGGGTGAGGGCAAACAAATAACTGCAACAGGGAGGGTAGGCTTACAGAAACGATGGCTTTTGAGTCATTGACGGCCTTGAAGAAAATGAGACCTCGATGGAACCCAATGACGACACACGTTGGGGCTAGAGCATGAACCTTGGTCTTACTTCGGGAATCGCAGAAGCTGTAGGATTGATCGTCCAAGTGCTGAGGTTCGTGTTTCAAGTTAGGTTGGATGACGCCAATTTCAAGCACATACAGGTTGCCTAACAGAGTCTCACCTCTCATAATTCGGGAGTATAATGACCGATTACCAATCTCACCCAGGAATTTATCGGTTTCGCCGCGAAAAACTACGTCAACGTTATAGGGGAGGCAACACACCTCCGCACAACACATGTGCAGTCCTGACAGCGCTGGGCACAAGCAGATAGTCTCCGCTTGATAAGATAGGTGGCGGAGTTGTCGACAAGGCAACAAGCGGATAAGTAAGCTTTAATTTGCGCATGGTTCTCATGCAATTGAGGTACCTCTATAATGTTTCCTTGCCTCCGACTCGCCGAGCCGGGGTGGTTGTCGATGACCAACCACAACGTTTCCCGAAGGTCAACAAGCCGACGGCGATAGCTATCTCTTCGCACCTGCTATTCCGTAAAGGCTGTGTATGTATCAGTTTTTCGATAGGCTCTAATTATAATCACTCATGGGCGTTTGCGTTTGAAAATTCCTCCCCCTGGTTTCGGTGTCGCGTTGAGGAGGGAGATGGTCACGAGGGTCACGACGAAGGCAAGAAGACCTGAGAAGACCGAAAAAAAAGAGCCATATCTCACCAGCGCATACATCCACCTACTTCATGCATGTGTTATATTTATCTTTCGCGCAGATCCAGCAGTGCAGTCCGCAGAAGTGCTCCGGTAATAATAATTGTACCCTATCATCAAGCTAGGAAAGCAGGGTCACCACCCCCAGCCACCGGAAGCTCAAGTGGCAATGCCTCCTAAATTCATCACCTGCAAGTTGCTCCACTGAGCTCAACAATCTTGTCTACGTGATGTGAGCTTGTCTAGAAGGACTCGGCATTAGCACTGCCTGCTGGAAAGAGGAGCCCCACAAGTTCTTGAAATCAATCGTCTGAATGGCCGTTGATGTGGGGTAAGTGTGTATCAGTGCATCGCATTCTTCAGAAGCAGGACACAGCTCCAGAAACTAACAGAGCAATGGCACATGTTCAACACAATTTCAATAAAGTATCTTCGAAGTAGTACATGGACATGATGTCTTGGTGAATGATTACTGCACGCATTAGTTCATGTTTTCCCTTTCTCATTTTGAAGCGTTCTCAAGGGAGAGCACTTTTTTGCCCTTTGCCCGTGGCAGTTTTCGCAGATGAATGCTCTAGGATGGAATAACTACAGAAGGAAGAAGAAGGGAGTGACAAACAAACACATTTCCAACACACTAGTGCCAACCTGTGCCCACCTTCAGGAAACAGCGCGCGCAGGTTAGGCTTGAAACTGTTATAGCTGCTCTAACCTTCAGGACCAGCTTGCTAATTATAGACTGCTCGTGCCAAAAAAAGCCATACCTGGACCAGACCGCGAGCAGGGATGAATTCTAGACAGTCGCGCGGCATGGATTGATCGGGTATAACGCTTCAAAGCCTTCAACGAACGAGCATCACTGCATTCTTGTGTTGAAAGGCTTGCCGTTGTTATCATTTTAATTTTGCTCGTTTGCCTTCCTAGGTTTAATCAAGCGTTTCCCTTCGGAGGATGCCTTTGCTGTCTGGTCCGCATGAATACATGAGCTCTTCGGCTTGGTGATCGATTCACCCAGTCAGAAGGAAGAGTGAATGGTTATTTGATAACGAGTCTAGAATCCACAATGACATATCGCCGGCCCACCAAAGCGAACTCAATCAGTTGCAACCTTTCCACCCGGTCAGGCCGAATTCTGCTAAGTTGGGCCAATTTGACTTGGTCGGATTCCTCGCTTATCGGTATCTCTCATGTCGTTGATGGTATCGGTGCATGGATGGAACCGGTACACAGAGCTGCTTCAGCTGGTTTCAGGGTTTATTTATGTCCTTCCTTGCTCACCTTCGTACCAGCCTGGCCAGTTGCCGTCTTCCATCCACGCCCAAGAACATCTCGTTGTTACGCCAATTTGACGGATCCAGGAAGAATATCAGGAGTTTTCTTTCCAAGAGAACACCTCCCTCATCCCACTCTGTCTGGAATTTGAAGGACCCCTACATACTCAGCCCCAAACTTCCACCCCGTCTAAATCTCCCACTCGATCCTTGTATCTTCTTTCCTGTACAAAAGTCGGTTTTTCGCTCATTGTCCCTTAACATACATCCCCCGTCTTCCTTGAGAACCCGTCTCCTGCGTCTGCTCAGAATCCCTCAGCACTTTCCCCTCTTCTCGCCACTTCACCTTCGTATCAAAGTCACTCATAAAAAAAATCAGAACACATCGCAAATTCACCACGTCCACCAGCCCACATATCGAAGAATTCAATTGACTCAGCCCCGGATCTAGGAAAGAAACGCAGAACCTACATTCACCCGGAATGAATTGTTGAAGCGCGTTCCTTCCAGTCTTGCACAGTCATCATCATCATCATCCTCAACAAAAAAGAGACACTTATTGAGAGCAGTCCAGCGAGTCCATGTTTCGTCATCACGCCGCGACAAACAACGAGCTTGCCAGCCAATCACCCCCTCCCGCCAACTCGGCCCCATCCGACCCAGATATTTTGACGACGCTCGCACAGTTTGACAACCAACAGCGTACCCAGCTCGAGCAATTCAAGCGTCAACAGGCCGCCGAGCGCCAGCGGGAAATCTACCGTCAGAACCAGATGTCTACCACACTGGCCGAGGATACTCCTACTCCACCAAGGCAGAGCCCGCCTGGGTCTATACAAGAGAGCCCCACTCACATCATCGCACAACCAAAACCTACCGTTCCTTTACCTCAGAAAAATCACACTAGTTCACCACCAACCCCTCCTCCGGCTTCCGCAGTTATTGCTCCGGAGTCTCACAGTAAGAATGCTACTGTGGCAGCCTCTCCGCAAGGTATGCATGTTTTCCTTTACATCCAAGAGATGCACTGTTTAGTGACACAATTTTCTTCAACCCAACAACCTCCATATTTCTCACCATCTTCAACCTAGCTGCACCTCAAAGAAGTGTTGGCAACTCCACCAGTCAAGGAGGAAACCTCGCACCCTCACCAGCAGCATCGCGTCTACCGACACCTCCACCAAGTGCACCCCAACATACCCCAAACTCAATCCCCACGGGTGGATCACAGAATTCAACATTATCATCGTCTCTCGCGCAGCCATCTGGCGTTGCAAGTGCACAGACATATGAGCGACACGGGATGACGACTGGCCAGAAGGTGCTCCTGGCAGGAGGCCTTCTGAGCTCACTATTCGTACTGGGATATTTTGTACGCTGGTGGCAGAAGCGACGCCGCAACCAGTTAAACGGCCCGCGCAAGGTCGACAAGCTCAACATCAAGGGCCCTTTCCAAAAGTCCGAAGAGAACCTAGCGGATGCTGACAGCGAGCCGATCTTTGGCGGGCCCGGCCACGCCAGCATCTCCTTCGACCGTCTCCAGGTGCTCAGCGAGAAGCCAATCCCCTTTCCCAGATCCGACATCTACAACCAGCACAGCCTCCCATCGCCACCACCCAAGTCCCCCTCCGCTGCTAGATCTTCTCTCACTCTCGAGCCCCCTCCGCCCCAGCCTAATATTCTCCCCAACTTGAAGTTGATCTCACCTCTTTCCCAGTTTAATGATCAAACTCCAATGGATTACCGCTGTAAGGGTCCGCAGATGAAAGGCAAAATATTTACTGTTGAAAGGACTTACCAGGCTGCACTAGCCGATGAGCTAGTCCTCCACGTGAGTTTTTATTTATCCAATCCGTCACATTGATAAATAGTTGCGTGAAAAAAAGCTAAATGACTCCTTCTTTTTACTCTATCGACAGGTTGGAGACAGAATCGAAGTTGCATTTTACTACGACGACGGCTGGTGTCTAGGTCAAAACCTGGACATTGGCCGGTACGACCCGGGGCAACTATCCAAAGGAGTATTTCCCCGAGACTGTGTTGGATCGCATCCGATTGAACTGAAGAATGAATCTGAAGGGAGCTCGAATGCGGCCGAGCGGGGTCTCGCAAGTGATCGGACAACGTACGACGATGCCGAGGAGCAGAGTCGTAAGGCCTTCCGGGCAATCAGTTCCAACCCTTCTCTGAGTCCACTCAGCTCCAGCATCTTCGAAAAGTTCCCCCTCCCACCACGCTCTCAAGACAGGCTCGAGGCCCAGCATCATGACAGGCTCGAGACTCAGCAGCGCGTTAGCAGCCTGTTCATCGGCCGCAATGCCCAGCTCTTCCTCGAGCTCGACGATGCCTTAGGCGAACCCGAGTCTCCTCTACACGTCCACTTCGCAAACCCTCACAACTACCCCAAATGAATCCCCTTCCCCGCGCCGTGTGATCATTACCGGGCAGCTCATTCATCACTTGCCTCATAATCAATCTTATCGTTATTTCATCATCCAACAATCATCCCCTTCCGGCTCGTTGTTTCGTTTATTCTCTTCGTTCATTCCCTTCATATAAATATCCTCTTTCCATAGCAGTCGTCTCCGCTCAACAATTTTTTTTTTCTTTTTCAAATCCATCATCACCAGCAAGTCATCCCACCCACGCACGCACGCATCCAGCAAGTTTTTAAAAAAGAAAACTCCCCCCCAAAAAAAAGTTGTAATTGTGTATACAATGCGATCCAATCAGTTGTTGTAATGTCACGACTGTACATAGTCTTAAAAAGGAAGGACCTACTCTTGTCTTATCAATCATAGTACATATTTTTGCGTGCATCTTCACATATACCCGACACAAGAGACTCCTATTCCGCTTGTATTCTTCATGTGCATAAAAACATATATGTAAATGATGAACACTTGATAGATGAATCTAATTGGCAAATAGATAAAACAATTTTACATGGCTTGAATGTCTGCTCAAACATCTTCATCTTTTGAACTATCAATTTTTCAACAGGAGAATAAAAAAACACCAGTTGCCTGTAACATACTTTTTGAATTGATGCTTAGATGGATTTACAATTGCTCAAGCATGACTATATTTGAAAGTGTAGATTGCCTTCAACCTGAACCATGGGACTCATTCCAAAACACAACTGACTGGGAATATTGGGAAATCGAAAGATGAGGTGTGGTAAGAGGTTAATGGTGTTTAGAGTAATGTTACAGAAGTATTTGTGAAATCACTGATAAAATGGTGAAGAGTTGACACCTCATCAGAAGGACTGCTAAGCGAAGAGCTTAAATCACTAGGCCTGCATTTGGATAGGGTCTGGGATTGCAAATATCAATTCAAATGATTTTTTTAAACTGAAACATCCATTTTCAAGGGTGGGGACCAAATAGGAAGCTGCTTGTCTACATATAATAAAGTAGGAAAGCAACAAAAGAATCTTGGGCAATGATTTAGTCAACATTAATCATCCCATAGGGTCCCATCTGAGCAGAAGTAGACCCCTTGTCATGCCATTTTTCAACTTGCACCTTTGATCAATTACATGGTAAATAGAGACATATGAGATATAATAGAACTTACCAAGTGGCAAAGATTTCTTAATTTGATTTCTAATATTATAGTTTCCAAAGTTGGAGCTTACTTGGGGAGAAGGGGGTGCAGGAGATTGTGCTATATATAGCAGTGACATATAAACGGCAAACTGGTATAGCCGTGGTACGAGGTGTTCGGGGAGAAATCATCCTCAGCGGGTAACTTGTACCAGTCAGCCAAGAAGCTTCTTCCGCTTTAAGCAGGATTTCACCCGGCAAAGTAGTTCAGCTTGTACCATCTCCCCGGGTCGAGATCTTCTTCGGCGGCTAGCACATCTGGAAGCAGCTCATGGGAGATGGATCATATTCGGCAAATATGTATTTTATGTCCTTGACACCGAAAAGGATCCCTCGCCAGCAAGCTGGTACAAGCTGTATATACCAGTTGCCGAAGAGGAGTCGCTGCAAGGAAGGAGGCTGTAATGCGACTGCGATAGCAACGTCGTGAATTGGTCCCAGAATCTTATAATGATCAGCACTCTGGCTTCCTTTCTTTTTCTTTTGTTCATTTGGGGCCTGCGCTTGATGATGTTTCCACTCACTAGGAATTACTGGTCAATCCCAGTATCAGGTGGTAATGGCCAGTCTCAGCCTCTCAGGTGGTAATGGATTAGTTGGATTTGACTAATTTTGAGCACCGATGCCTTGAGCGGCCGGATGGACTGCTTTGCTCGCTTCCAAGAAGCCTTCCGAGGTCTGATCCTTCCGGGCTCTCAGCCTCGGATATCCATTCATCAGTCAATCTCCGATTTGGTTTTGAGCGTAGGACATATTTAGTTCCGCGTCAACATGTCAGGTTGGACTGGTTGCTCTTTCCATCCTAACTTTGCTGAGCCAGGCTAATGTTTAGGCCAATCAACCGGAAGGATACTTGGTCGAAAGATGAGCGCCCAGTTAACTTGGACCTGCCTCCTTGCCATCCGGCTAACAAAGAATACAAGATGCACAGATTGGTAGAAACCCTCTAACGATTCCTCAAGCCTACATAAGGAACCTATTCCAAGCATCTTACAACGTCGCATCCATTCTCACTTTGCTCTTGATATCCACCAATACCAGCCGGACTGCTTCTATCCCAACAATAAGCTACAAACCTAATATACAAAATGGACAAACAGTTTCTTGTCAAGATGCAAAATATCAACAACACAACCCTCTTCTCCTCAAAAAGTCTAACATCTCCGTGGTTGTCGGGAAATGAGACATCTTCAATCTGGTATTCGGGCCCAGAGAAACCAGCGCAAGGAATACCAACGACTTCTCTGTTCGAACTACTCCTCGTTATCAGTCTTCTGGTTATTCAATGTGCTCTCCTTCATCCTAAATTCAAAGATTCCTCCTCTGCTCGACTCACCCGACTTTCTTTGGGCCCACTGATCATTGGATGGGCGTTACTTTATCCCTTTCGTCTACCGGTCGTACCATTCGAAGAACGAGACATCCTTCATGGATTCCTAGCCGTAATGATGATCTTCAAGTCAATTGAATTCACTTTTGCTTCCGGGCCTTACCATATGCGTGGTTTGAAAACTGTCGAGGGTGTTCCGGTTTGGGAGAAAGATTCGGTAGCCAAGCCTTCTCTTGAAGAACCAGAGTCAGGTTTGGGAGACTTGGCTCTGTGGACGGCACTGCTGTTTACCTCGTATGTCATGATATCTGCGTACATCTCTGTATCATATAGCCAGAAGCTAACCCTTGTTGTTTACTTACTTGAAAACCTTTTCACCAGCCAACGTGGATTGAGATGGTCCTGGGGACCGGTGGGCAAAGGCAATGAAAGTTCGTTCCTGCAAGCACTCTTGGAATTGGTTCGGCTCCAAATGGTGCTCCTCCCATGTGTGGGATTTGTACTCTACTCTCAAGATTGGACCACTTACAGCTCCGACCCGCGAAGCGCGCTTCTTAGTTTAGGCATCCCTTCGTTTCGAGGACTTGGCCTTGTAGCAGGCGCCATACATTCTGCCTGCACAATGCTGGTTGTCAGCTCCTCGCTCGAGATGTTCAATGCAGTCCCAGTACTGTTGACTTATCCTTTATACCCAATGGCCAAAAGCATCGGTCTTTCACCCAAGTTGTATGAACTCCTCAACCCAGCAAATTATCCTCCTCAGTTCGGCTCTTTGTTCGACTTTTCTTCATTGGCTAATTTCTGGGGGAAGTCCTGGCACCAGAAGTTTCGTCGTGCTTTTCTCTTCTGCGGCGGGAAACCGGCAATGTCCATCGCCAGAGCCTTGGGTGGTTCAAAAAATGTTCAGAAAGCTTGCGGCGCCATGGGCGTCTTTGCTCTTAGTGGGTTTCTTCATGAATATCGTGAGTTGATCCAGTTCATCATTTGTAATTTTTATCTGTCTACTAGTGGTCTATCTAGCTAATCGCCCGCTTCATCTTATCCACCACCTAGCCCTGTACGCTTACGAACGCGAGCCCCATCCATACCCTCGCCAACTGTTCAAGACCCTTCCCACTAGTTTCCTCTACTTCTTCGTCCAGTCATTTGGCGTAATTCTCGAACCAATTATTATCCCCTATATCCCCAAAAGGCTGGGCGGGGCAAAGCTTTGGACGATTTCATTTTTGTTCCTCACTGCCCCACTCTTCACTCGAGATGCCTGCCGTCCCGGGGGGCCGTTCAACCGATACCGTTTCCCGCAACAATGGACTTGGCTTGACATGGTCATCCCAGCTCCTTTTGCAGAGAAATTGTTATCTAGCAAGTAATCATAGAAGCCTAGCCGTGTAATATAATTTGTTCAACTTCGAGGCTAACCCAGATCGCACTGTAGACAACCTCTGTCATTGTAATACTCCCTTGTAGCACTCCAATTTGTTATATAAAAGTGTAATATTTGATGGCAAATACAAACAATAAATATGTTTACAATCATGTAACAATTTTGAGGAGTGCGAGAATTCAGAGCACTATGTATACAAATGTAAGCAAATCTCTGAACGCAAGTTGCGTGCTGAAGAGACAAGCTACCCATGACCACAATCTTAAGTAGAGACCGCTTCAATGGGCACAATAGCTTTAAACCCCGTCATAGAACAAGATAACCGACTACATTCCAATCCAAAACACAAACAAGCATCTTCCTTTTCCCGGTAAACAACCAACTCACAAAAAACAAAGGCAGATGAGGGGAGGTAGGATACAAAGACGCCTGTTAACCTCTGAGTATCATACGACGAGAGAGATAGGGTCAGCGCGAAGCCCAGAAAAAAATTCGTGCTGGTCGTCACGATGGACGGCGATCCAGATAGCATTGCCGACGACGGGTGCCCGTTGCAGGACGCGGATGAGGTACCGACCCGGGCTGGAGATTTTCTCCACGCAAAGGTCATAAAAAAGCGTCCCGATTGTTGATTGCGCGTACCTCGCGATGGTCGAGGACGACACAGATATCGAAATCGGAGCCTAGTTTCCGCACTTCGGGCTGGATGTCGTCAGAGGACCGGCTGAAGAATCAACTGGGAACTACTCGGGATTTATTCATCCCAGTCTTAGGTGGGAAACGAACGGCCAGTCTCAGGTGGTCAATGGATTAAGTTAGGATTCCGATTGAGCAACGATGCCTTGACCGGCCGGATGGATTGCTTTGCCCGCTTTCGAAGCTTGTCTGTGCGAAAGCCTTCCAGGGTCCGATTGATCCTTCCGGGCTCTCACTCAGCCTCGGATTTCCATTCATCAGCAAGTCGTTTTTGAGCGCAGCACAATGTAGTTCCTCATCACCAGGTCCGAGTTGGACTGGTTGCTCTCCATTTTGGTTTTGCTGAGCCAGCCTAATGTTTAGGCCGATCAGCCGGAAGGATGCTTGGTGGATTGATCAGCGCCCAGTCAGTCCTACCCTCCATGCCCCTCACCATCCGACAAACTAAGAACAAAAAAAAAGTTGCATAGATTTTAAAGATAGCCTGGGGAACGATTCCTTGAGCTTATATATAAGAGTCCTATCCGATTCAAGAGCGTGCAACGGTACCACAATTCCCTCTCCGCTTTCGATATCAAGCAGTACCATTCAGGCTGCTTCTATCCCCATAATCCTGAACTCCCAACGCTACAAAACGATAAACCAAAATGGATAAACAGTTCGCTATCAAGATGGAAAACATCAAGAATACCACCCTTTCGAATTTTTTCACATCGCCGTGGGCATCTTTAAATGAAACGTCTTTCGATTGGCAAATATCAGACTTCGACAAACGAGCGCAAGGAATACCAGCGACATTTCGATTAGAAAAGCTCTTGATGATCAGTCTTCTGGTTGTTCAATGTGCTCTCCTTCATCCTAAATTCAAAGATTCCTCCTCTGCTCGACTCACCCGACTTTCTTTGGGCCCACTGATCATTGGATGGGCGGTGCTTTATCCCTTCCGTCTGCCGGTCGTCCCATTCAAAGAACGAGAGGTCCTGGATGGATTTCTGGCCGTAATGATGGTTTTTAAATCAATCGAATGGACTTTCGCTGCAGGGCCATACCACATGCGTGGTTTGAAAACTGGCAAGGGTGGCCCGGTTTGGGAGAAAGACTCGGCAGCCAAGCCTTCTCTTGAAGACCCAGAGTCAGGTTTGGGTGATTTGGCCTTGTGGACGGCATTGCTCTTTACCTCGTATGTTGTGATATCTTCTCTGGATCACATAGCCAGAAGCTAACGCTTGTTTTTAACTTATTTTAAAACCAATTCACCAGTCAGCGTGGATTGAGATGGTCCTGGGGACCGGTGGGTAAAGGCAATGAAAGTTCCTTCATGCAAGCACTCTTGGAATTGGCCCGGCTTCAAATGATTCTCCTCCCATGTTTAGGATTCGTGCTCTACTCTCAAGATTTCACCACATACACATCCGACCCACGAAGCGCACTTGTTAGATTAGGCATGCCTTCGTTTCGAGGTCTTGGGCTCTTAGCATGCGCCTTCCATTCGGCCTGCACGATGCTTGTAGTCAGCTGCTCACTGGAGATGTTCACCGCGGTCCCAGTGCTCTTGACTTATCCCTTCTACCCAATCGCCAAACAAAGCGGCCTTTCACCCAAGCTGTACGAGCTGCTCAACCCAGCTAATTATCCTCCTCAGTTTGGCCCCCTGTTCGATTGCTCTTCATTGGCCAATTTCTGGGGCAAGTCTTGGCACCAGAAGTGTCGCCGTGCCTTTCTCTTCTGTGGCGGCAAGCCGGCAATGGCTCTGGCTAAGGCCTTCGGTGGATCGAAGAATGTTCAGAAAGCTTGCGGCGCGATGGGCGTCTTTGCGCTCAGTGGCCTTCTCCATGAATATCGTAAGTTGTTCCATCTGATGTTCCAGATCACCATCTATCGTAATTGAAAAATTCACTATTGGTGTTACAAACTAATAAGTTCGTTAAATGTTCATCATCATCTGGCCCACCCATCTCTAGCCTTGTACGCTTACCAACGCGAGCCCCATCCATATCCTCGACAACTATTCAAGACCTTCCCTGCAAGTTTCCTGTTCTTCTTTGTCCAATCATTCGGCGTGATTCTCGAGCCATTTATCATCCCCTACATCCCCAAAAGGTTGGGCGGGCCGAAGCTTTGGACGATTTCCTTCTTATTCCTCACCGCTCCACTCTTCACGAAAGACGCATGTCGTCCAGCTGGACTGTTCGACCAATACCGCCGTCCTGAACAATGGACCTGGCTTGACTTCCTCATCCCTCCTCCCCTTGCTATCAAACTTTTAGCTCACAAATAACTAGTCCTTCCCATAGTCTGTCGTCCATCATCAATTGTATTCCTCCTCCTCACTTCCATTCGGGATTGTGCAGGGCCCATCCAACTCATTGTCGCCCTGTCAACTGCTGAGTGTAACATATCAAGTAGCACATTTTATTGTAATATGATGGATAGATGAACAAAGTAAGCAATTGATACAATGAAAATCGAAAACACGAGATCCTTGCTCCTCCTTTCTTAGTGTGGTCTACACCCTCTAGCTCCAACATAATATTTTCCAGTATGAGAATACTTCCAACAGTCAAGTGATCCTAGTCTTTATCTTGTCCTGATCCACTGTTTCCCAATTTCAGTCGACCAAAGTATGCATCCATCCATACAAACAACCACAGAACAAGGATACTTTGTTACGTATCCTGGATGCATTAAGTGATCTAGTATGTCTTGGTAATGATTATTGGTTTACAAATCAAATTAGTGGAAAGTAAAAGAAAACACGAGCTATAACTAAATATACATGAGTCAACACCCCCCCCCCCAAAAAAAAAAATAACACAACAAAAAAATACAATAACTAAATCAAGTCTTAATAAATTGAAAATCATAATCATCTACCCCAAAACATTACTGATCCTCCAAAGAAAAAGAAAAAAGGGGAACGGGGGAGGGGAAGATAAAACGAGCAGATGATACAAATCAAAAGCGAACCAACGAAGCCAGGATGATGGTAATAGGATTAGGAAGATGAGGATGATGATGATGAGGTTAGAGAGAAGGCTCGACAGAAGCGTAATCAGATAAGGTATAGAGCTCCCAGAGCCGTTTGGATAACGCAGGCCCGATGCGAGAGTTAGCGCAATTGGCGGGATAGGCGCTACAACTAGTCTGAGTCGAGCTGATACTGGCGATACTCATCTCGACGGGGTGATCCGGATGAGAGAGAGCAGAAGGAAGGGGTTCATTAGGATGACGATCGATCCAGGACCAGGGATATTTATCGGCCTTTGTCTGATCGGAAAGGGGGGCGGAAGTGTGGGCGAGGAGATCGGCCCAGAAGGAGACAGGCGTGGGCCAATGGTCGACGAAGCTCGCCACTTTCGACGCGCTCATCCCCGGCAAACAGTGTGCCATCCGCGCCCATAGCTCCCGCACCGTCAACGTCGCCGTCTTGTGGTTCAGAACCTCGAACGCTCCGTACGTCGTCACCCAATACCGAGCGGAATTCTCTGCATCCTTCGTCCGGAGATCGGCTAGATGGAAAAGATACGTCGTCCGGTCAATCGTAGCGTCCGGGATGATCGACAAATCGATCGTCTATTTCCACATATGTGCATTCCATTCCACCCCATCAACAACCAATTTTTTTTCTTTCTTTCTTTCCACAAAGAACAATGAAACTCTTCAAAAAAAGGGGGGAAGATAGGAAGAAAAAGAGAGACGGCTAACCTGATGAAGGTCGCGCAAGACCTCGGAGCGTCGAACCAAGAACTCGACGGAGGCTTTCCAATCGGGCGTGGCCTCGAGCTGGAAGTCGTTGAGAAGCATGGTCTCGAACTTGGAGGTATAGATCATCTGGCCATAGCTGTCGAGGTTAGACTGAGTATTATAAGCCTCGACGAGGTAGATAGGGTCTCGGAGGCCAGAACGCTTCAATCGGGCCTACACATAAACATCAACCGGGTGCCATGATTTGATTAATTCATACCTGGTAGCGAGAGAAAAAAGATAGAGGGAGAGGAACATACCTTTTGTTCCTCAAACCGGTTGTCCTTGATGCTAGCACACAGGTCGTCGAGTCGTTTGCGCTCGACGATCGAGTCGAGGACGACTTCGCGCTGGCTGTCACGATGGACGGCGATCCAGATGGCGTCACCGAGGACGAGTGCGCGTTGAAGGACGCGGATAGTGGGCTGGCCGGGGCTGGCGAGAGCGCTTACTTTCTCGACGCACAAGTTATAGAAAGCGTCGCGGTCGTTGATGGCGCGGACCTCGCGATGGTCAAGGACGAGACAGATGTCGTAGCTGCCCGCCTTCCACACTTCCGGCTGGACGTCGTCAGAGGCTCGACTCAAGAGACTCTCCGAGAGCCCACTCGGGGTCCGCTTGAGATTGACGCGGGTCCGGTTGCTCGGCAAGCCGTCGCTGGAGGACCGACTCTCAGAGAGTGCACTGGTAGTGCGCTTGAGGTTACGGAGAGGACAACTGCTGGATGATCGGTCGAGAGAAGAGCTCTGATGGGAAAGGTTGCTAGCCTCGCGACTGAGATCGACAACGGTACGAGAGCTGGCCAAACTGTTGACGGCTCCGGAGACAGGCAGACTGTCGGGACTTTCAGATGCGCTCCAGCCAGCGACGGTTTCCGAGAGTGCGGCACCACTCCAGAGGATCTCGCAGGACCCGGGCCGACTAGGTGGCTTGAGCCGTGCGGACGGTGCCAAGTCCTTCGGTGCGGCCGGATCGGCTTCCGAGGGGATCGACACCACTGAGCCTGCAGGCGTGGCTGAGCCCGATGAACTTGGCTTGAAGAGACGATCTAGGGGCGAGATCCTGTTCTGATATCCTGCGCTGATTGTCGTCTGTGCTGATAATCCGCAATAAGAATCATCGTGGATAATGTTCACCGGGGGATCAGGGCTGGGAGAGGATCTGCGCCGTTGGCTGGCTGATGGGACATGAGGGGCGGAATTGTTCTTGTTGTAGCTTGAAGACAGAGTGGGGGGCGGGATGGTTGTGCTGGTGGACAAGGTTGGCGAGTGAGTGGATAGTCCAAAGCCTGGACAGCTGGGGATCGCCTTGCTCTCGTACATCCAACCCATCATGTGGCCCTCCGAGCTGTTCATCGGTGATGGACGTAGAGCAGCTTCGTCGACAATTGAGCTCCTCTTGACGGGATGGGAGCTCTGACTTGCCGCAAATTCGACTTGGTATAACGTCTCGAACGTCCGCGGATGCATTCGGCTATCCGCGTCATCCATGTTCCTGACTCGCAAGCCCGCTGTGGGAAGATTGAACGAGTGAGTAAGTCCCTTCTTCTTCTTCTTCTTCTTCTTCTCAAGAAACGGTTTACTGACCTCGATCAAGATACCAAAATTCAAATGGACCACGATTGTGGGACACCCGACTGGACTGTTGACTTGAATTTGTATTCAGACAAGCAATCTCTGGGTCATCGGGAATCGTTGGCAGGCTGTTTTTTCTTTGAGGGTTGTTTGATTTCTGGGCTGTGGTATTTGCTCGCTGGTGACTTGCTGAGTGGATGGTATCAGAAGAAGAAGAGGGATTGGGGCCACAAGGGTTGAGGTTGGATGCATTGCTTGTGGACGTCACAGGAGCCTTTGAAGAACTGGCTGCGGGTAAGGGATCTCGTGCAGAATCGACATGTGTCTCGAGTAGGCTCATACTGTTCCCATCAGGTAGTTTTGATTTATCGAATGGGACTAGAGTTAGATCTTCTTTCTCGGCAAGGATCGAGGCCAGCTCGAAGCCTTGCTGAGTCAGAGTGAATTTTGCCTGTCTGCCAGGGGTGGAGAGTGAGAGTCCTTCGGCAAGAAGTTTCTTCCTGAAGTGGGGGAGAGGGGTGTCGAGTGATTGAGTTAGTTGAGCTTAAGAGTGAGTCAGAGAAGGATCGAGCCTACATGTTCCAAGCGGTATAATGTCCACTATTTCCAGCCCCTCCACCCCTACTACCGCGTTCGGTGTAGCTAGAATCACAGTACTTTTGGGCATGTTCGATGATCTCCTGTTTGGTGAATGAGCCGGCGCGTTCGGTGGTGAGGATGGATAAGCCGACGAGGATACCCCAGCACCCGGTGCGTCTCTTTGGGATATATTTCTTCTGATTCGTCCTAGTTTTCGGCTGAGCCGGGCTGGCTTGACGAGTAGTTTTGGGAGGGAGGGATGGCTCGGGGTCGGATGAGGAAGGGTCGAGTGCGCGTTCTTCGGGGGTCAGTACTTCAATCTTCCGTCTTCGACGAGGCTGGCGTGGCTTGCCCTTCTTCTTTTGGCCAGCTGATGAGCCCGTTCGATTATTTGATGGTCGTTGTTCTTGTTCTTCTTCCTCTTCAGAGCTGGACGGATCCAGGGCTCTCTCCTCGGCTGTTAGGATCTCCTTGGCGCGTTTCCTAGGTCGGGTTGGATTGGTGGTATCTTTCTTTCTCTTGCCCTTGAGTGATTCAGCTGTATGTAGAGAGTAACCTGGCAAGTCAGATGGGGGGGTTTACTGAAAACCTCATTCTTGATCTGGGTTGTACGCACGTTCTGTTGGGAATGGGTCCCCCGTCGCATCGCACTTCTCCTGCAATCGGGCGGTGATGAGCCTGACGATGCCCTCTCCGACGCCGTTGAGTGCGAGTGCTTGTTTTGGATGGTGGAGTGGTTGGTTGTGTAGTCTGATGGCTCGTGCTGCTCGTCTGTAGGTGTCGCATGAGCGGGATCCGTTGTTTGCGGCGTGGTCTGCTGCTTCCTGTACCCATCCAGCCCATTCGGCGTTGAGTGAGGTTGATGGTGCCATCTTGCTGTTAGTAGTAGTTGGATGTGCTGCTGTGTCGAGAAGTGTTGCAGTCGTTGGTCCAAGGCAGGTCTGGATGTTCAGCAGTCGGGAAGACGAGTGGTCGACGTTAAAGATGGGTCCGCTGTGCATGCATGCATCCCGATCGGGAGATCGGGAGATCGGGAGGGGCCCGTCTTGGCAGGCCAAAAAAAAAATAAGAAGCCAGTTGAGCCTACATATTTAGTAGCAGCTACTTTACCACCACCTTGAACCCTGAACTCGAACTTATCAAAAAACCACCAGATCAGGAGCAAGAGACAAACAAGAACCGACATGACTATCAACGGACACTCAACTCAGCAAGAGAACAACAACCATGAGATCCAACCAAAACAACTCCAAGAACTCGACCTGAACGACCAGCAGAAACCAAACAACGGAAACTCGGCAGAAGAAGAAGACAAACCAACAGCAACTAGCCAACAGGGAATCGTACCACACGATGGCCAACTACTCGACGCCGTCCTGCCCATCAGAGCCAAGACGCCCAGCCTAGGAGTACCCAAAATACTAGCCAAGATCAAGGAGACCAATCCAGACTGGCAACTAAGCGAGAAACGATTACGGAAATTCTTAAACTCAAACCTATTCCCACACTCAAACGAAAGAAACAACAGCAATCCCAGCAACACCAACAGACTCTCAGACCCATCATCAGCACATCAACTCAGATCACCCTCCGAACCCATGTGGATACCCAACTATGCTTGGGAGAAGGATTGGGAGGCTGCCTCGGTCGACCACTCTCCCAACGAACCTATCAGCTCATTGGATGATACCCTGCTCTTAGAATGCAGACAGCGCTCGGTTAAGATCGAACCCGTCAGATTCCCAGCCAGTAATAAGGGTAGCGGCTTGATCGCCAAAGATCATCTAGCTAAAGGCACCCAAGTCATGAAGGAGGATGCATTCGTCTGGGTACCTCCTACCAAGTGTGCCATCCATCCTCATTAACTCTAATCCTCTCTCATACATTGACTTTCATTCCCACCATGGCTCCCTTCTCCAGGAACATGTCTCGTTCGGTCATGTCCGGCCAGAGCTGTGCATTCTGTGGTCGAGCGTTTTCGATGCAACGCACAAAGGCACAGCCGAGCTGTCCCCACCATCCAGCACCGGGTTCCAAGGAGGCCATCGCAGCCCAACAGTTGATGGTGACCACCTCGACCAGTCTGACGACCGGTGGTCAATCGGTGACCGAGAAACCGGCTGGACCCGAACCCTGTTACATGCGCTACTGCACCCGGGTCTGTGCCCAACGATCGGTAGACTATTTCGGACCATTGGTCTGCCCACAGAGGAATCCAGAGTACATGCAATTACTCCGGTTCACCGATGCCGAAGACTTCAGAGGCGCCCACATGGTCTTCAAGATGTTTGCACGGATGTTGATCGCTAACGAATCGGGTGAGCTCGCCGAGAACCCATCATTTAAACCTGAGCCATCCAAGCCACTCCCAAACGGGGGCTCGATCCATAACGGTGAATCGGAATCACAGGAGCCGAATGGCTCGGACGATCCGGTCTCGGCCGGCGGAAATAACCCAAAGAAACATAAGAAACCTAAATCGAAAAAGAAGTCGCTGGCCAACCAGATCCCTCCATCGACTGGCCCGAGCGTGAAGTTTGAAGAGACCTACAGTCGAATCCAAGGGCTCGCGACGATGTCTGATCGAGCGCGGCGGGAGAAGTACCATGGAGGGGGCCATCTGGGCTCCCATTTTGCCGACGTCCGGTACGGTCAGATGTGGAGGAACGGATGGCATGCGGTCATCAAGGCCTTGCACATCAACACCGGCTATCGTCCTCAAGCCGCCGACCCTAACCTTCAGGTCCCCTCGACAGACTCCTTCTGGGACTCCTTCTGGAAACGCAGATTGGACCCTGACACCATCGCCCATTACTTCGGCCTCAAAAGCTTTCTCGAATTCATCGGCAAAACCTCCCTCAATCGCGAGGCTGATCATGGCCTCTATCTCCTACACTCCCGATTCAATCGTTTGTCTCTCTCTCTCTCTCTTAGGCGTCTATATAACCTTGATTCTTACGTACTCTAACTACTCTGGTATCTCGTTTCTAGATTCTTGTGACCCTAATGCCGTCGTCTTGAAACATCCTGGATCCGAAGACATCCATAAAAGCGCACCTTCTACGATCTACGTGATGGCTCGGAAAGACATCGCAAAAGACGAAGAAATCACCCTATCCTACATCAATCGTATGTCCATATATTAGCTTTAAGATTTTTGTTTCTGTTTGAATATCAATTGTCCAGGCGCTCATTGTTGCTCCCATCATAATCTGATTTCTTTGAAAAGCTGATTTATCTTTAGATGCTCGGTTAGTCTTCTCTTATCCTAGATTATTGTTTTCTTATAAAAAAATATGATAAAATAAACTAATCAAACTTTTCTTGGCGAAATCAAATTGCACTTGACATGTATGAAACGAACTCGGGAAAAATGATGACAGACGAAGGAAGTTATTCGAGGACTATCTATTCTCATGTTTCTGTAGCCGATGTCGAAAGGAGCTAGAACAAGAGGAAGAGCGGAAGCATTACCAAGAGCTGATGGACAAGATGCGGCCGACATGCAACGAGGAACTATACCACCCTAATCTGACCAGTAATAATAATAATAATAGTCTCAAACATCGGATTGGCCAGCAACCGGCCACGACTACCGCTGAAACGGCAGACGATGAGGACGATGAGGACATGAGCTTTAGCTGCTTCTAAAACCCTTCCATACTTACTCTCTGGTCTCTATTCCTTCTGTTGTCCTCTCTCTCTACTCCCCCCCCCCCTCATCGTCCTGTTTCTTCTATCGTTCTTGAAACCCCTGTGCGTTGCCCACCCATCTGCTCTTCCTATTCTGCTGACCTTTGATCACCCTCTTACCCCCCGCCAAATCCACCACAAAACAATGGCTTAGGCAGTTGTTTTTATGCCTCCCCCCCCCCAAAAAAAAAGTAATGCGACAGTCGTACTGTTATGATTACTGTTATATGATGCCTATTCTAGTTGATCTGATAGAGAATACTTTAGCTTACCTTTCTTATTGACTCTTTTTATATCATTGATGACGATATCTCTTCTTTGTCTCTTTCTTTTTTTTTTAGAAACTCTCTTCTGTTGGTCGCTCCTTTTCTAATCTATGAAAAAGAAACATTACTCGTGTGATCATTTATATATATATATTGAAAGAAAGCCTAGGGAGGTTGGGGATGTAAGTATCACTCCACTTGACTTGACTTGACTTACCTCTTCTTATTGACCAAGTTTTATACTAAATAGATATCAGTATTGATCAAAAGAAACAGGTTAGATTGAGTACGCTTATCATATTACAGGCCAACAAAACAAAATCATTATGTATGGGAAATTAAACTCACAAGAAAAAAAAAGAAAGAGACAAAGAAGGTTATGAAATATTATGATTTGAAATCTTTGCTTTTAGTATACCAATGTCCTCTCACTCCCAAACCAAACCAAAGAAAAAAAGAACTCATCCAGAAGAATTCAAAAAAGGAACATTTAATGGACCTGGGTGTGAGCCTGGGTCTCTATAGTGACAGCAGGACACAAGATATGGGGGGGCACTTTTATATGTATTTCTTATGAGAAAAGGGATACAAATAAAAGTAGGGACTCGGAAAAACGACTCCCGATCTTTCGCCAACGACTCCCAACAACTGTCAGCGGACGTCCGTTGGGAGTCGTCTTCTAACACTACAATCAATACCCATTTTGCCCCAACAATAAATGGCAATTTGGGTGGGGGAAAATGGATCAATTTTCTGGCACTTTTTTCCAAAATGCCTCAGGAGTAGAAATTAGGCTAAACTGAGCTATTTTAGCCCAGAGATAGAAATTCATCAAACATTCCAGAATGAATTTTTAGCTCATTTGAGACATTTTTATTTTTTGGCTAAAATAGCTCATTTTAGCCTAATTTTTTACTCCTGAGGCATCTTGTAAAAAAAGTGCCAGAAAATTGATCTATTTTCCACCATCCAAATTGCTGTTTTTCCTTGGGGCGAAATCAGTATTGTTTGTAGTGTAAAGTGCGGGTGGATTCTGGCAACGGTGGGCCGCTACGCTACACTACGCTATTTGGCCACTACCTGTTAGCGTAGTGGCTTTTTTTTTTCTAGAAATCCTGTAGTGTTAGTTCACGCTACACACCACTGAGCTAACTGCCAGCGTAGCGTGAAATTTTTCCCTCAATTTTTTTTTAGTGTTAGCTTGAAATAATTACCGCTAAACTAACCTGTAGTGTAGCTTTTTCCAAGCTAACAAAATTTCCGCTAACCAACAGCGTAACTGTTGGTGCAGCTAACATGCAGCGTAACTAATCCCCAAATACGCTACACTACAGCAGCAGTTACGCTACCTTTGTAGCGTAACTGCTGCTGTAGTGTAGCGTAACTGCCTCACAAGTGAGTGTTCATGTGGGAATTGAACCCGTGGCACAAAAGTGTAGCGCTGGCATGTGGTCTGGCAGGACTATCTAAGATCCTCCCTGACCACATGACTAACGCTACCCTGATTGAAATCTTTCATGACGGGTCTAGTTCTGGATCAGCCCCCATTTTTATTGTGATTTTTTTTTTTGGTAGGGGGGGGGGCTCCCAATTTAAGCCACCCTCCCTTGACCATTTTTTTCACCTTGCTGCCATGTGATCATTCCCCTCCATCTTTGACTTCTCCTTCTTACTCCCATCCAGAAAATTTTTATCGCCCCTCACTTGACTTCCCTCATTTTCATAGACTTGTTTGACCGATGGCCACCAGCTCCTGCCCTCTAACCCGCTGATCATTGCTACCACCCTCAACAATACAGCTACCCCCCCCCCCTTGATTTTCCTCTCAATCAAAGCTACCCTGAATCGTCTCTTCAAACAATCGGCCGCTACCCCCCCCCCCTCGTTCGCTTGACCACCACCACTAGCTACCCCACCAGCTCATCGTTTGAGCCCCCCCCCCTTGTATTTCGTGAAAACGTAAGCTACCCTTGCTCGCTAACCTTCATGCTACTGCCCCACTACCCTGCTGAAGACTGCTACCCTCCCCCCCTCATCGATCCAGCTACCCCCCCTTGTTCAAGCTACCCTTAATCGTTTCCTCAAACGATTGGCCGCTACCCCCCCCTCGTTTGCTTGACCACCACCACTGTGGAACTCCTATCGTGCCAGGCGGTAGGCAGTTGGTTGAAGGGATGGTGCTTTGAGGGCTGCCTTCAAGTGGGATCTGGATAAGTTGAGCTGTGATCTGAACGAAACGCGTTGGGGTTGGTTGGTTTTCTGGAGGAGACAACAGAAATTGAGTTCTGTGGCGGTTGTTGAGGTTGAGGATCTTTGAAGGTGAATATGAGGATCAGATGAATCAATAATAAAAGGATCAATAAGATTTGATGGGTCTATCTTGGATCAGATCAGAGTGCCATGCCTCCCCATCATCTCAGTTCAAACTGAACTTTGACTCTGGGGAGTGACATGTCACAGACATGTCATCACATCCCTAACTACACACAACTCAACCAGAAAACAAAGACAACACAACACAACACACACAACACAACAAAAGAACAAAAGAAGAACACAGAATAGAACAAACAAACAAGATCAGAATAAACCAACATAAATGAAACTATGTCTTAGGACCAAGGAATAAGAAACAACACTGTCTTCTGAGTAAATGATTTGAAAGAGATAAGTAAGAATAATAAAATGATAAAAAATAAAAATAAAATAAAATCAAGATGAATAAAAAATAACATGAAGAGCAAATAATACAGCGGTTCCATGAAAGCTTGCGCTTTTCACCGAAAAAAAAAGAAAAAAAGAAAAAAAAAAAAAATTGAAGTTGCTGCGGAGTGCGCATGCACCACTGCATGCAGCCTCACGATTGAGCCTGATTCCCTCGATCAGATCACCTTGACCAAGATTAGTGATTGGTCTTTGGGTCAAGTGGTAGGCTTGACTTTTCTTTTCTCTTGGTTTCGGAAGCAATCTACATAACTGACTGTCTTGTTCGTCGAAGTGAACAGATTTGTGATCGCCAATCCGATCGATGCACTTGCTCAGCTTAATCACTTCCTCGAAGCCAGCCCGAACATTCTCCAGCAAGTGATGCAGCAGTCACAGCAAGCCCAGCCTCCTCAAGCGGCTTTGGATCAGCCCATCCTTGACCCCACATTCCAAAATGTATCAGGCATTCTGTCCCAGTTTGTTCAGCCCCAGCACACCACCCCTCCTGCCTCTGAACCAATCACCCAAGCCCCACTCAATCTTAATCTCTTTGATAGCCAGCCTCTTGCCGCTGCATTGACTGCCCTCAACGTACCTCAATGTAACACACCCCTTTCATGCGGCAGCAATCTCATGAATCAACCCAAAAGCTTAGTCCATCGCCATCAAGCTCGAACTCAGATGGGAACTGTAGATTGCGTGATCACCTGGATCCAGCAGTGATGAAGTGTGAACACAAGATTGCGGGCCCCTCGATCAAGCTCCAGAATGCATCCATCAACCGAGTGAAGCCCAGTGAGATAGCTGATCTACTCTACTCGGACATCCGCAGACAGGATGGTAGCCAATTGTTGCCCGGCAAGATTGGCAACCAAGGTGCGTCTGACCAGCTAGACCAATACTTCAGAATCCAGCTCCAGGTGCGCAAGTCCGGGCAGCGCGCACAACAGCGGATGTGGGCCCAGGCCGAGTCCACCTGGCTGTACTCCCAGGACACAGATCTCACGGGCAAGAAGGCCCATCCAAGACAAGACGGCTGTCCCTCGACAAGGAGGATGGATGAGGAGCAGGAGGAGATGGCGAGATCATCCCTATTGGCTTCCCAGCCCTGTCCGATCTGTCTCGAGCCTTTCGACACTAATCTTGATGAGGAGGAGGAGGAGTTCTTCTGGATCAATGTGATTGAGAGCTTGAATGAAACCAAACAAACCACGGTCTTCTATCATGCCACTTGTCATTTTGAGACCCTTTGTAATCACAAGAAACGCATGCAACTGAAGGCAAGAGGGCTTTGTCAACCCAAGAAAGCCTCCCAAGGAATGTCCTCCGTTGCCAATGCTTCTGACAACACCAAGCGGCTAGCTAATCCCCGAGCCTTGTCCCTCACCACCACCCCCTCCGAGTCTAAGATGGATAACACTAATAAGACTCAGCTCGTCCAATCAAGAGATCATCGAGCCAAGAAGGAAAAAGTCAATCGATTTTCCTTGGTCAAATTCTCCGATCAAGCTGGCTTGGCTCCTGATATCATCAACGTCGTCCGAAGAAGATCATCAACGTTGATGAAGCCTTGTCGTCGTCGATCTCTCCTGATCGTGTCGGCTCGTCTGTCCTGTTGATTAGCTTCCGTTCTACTTGGGTTTACAAAGGCTACATTGAGCCGATTGTCATCGTTCGTCGAAGCGATTTCAACGCTGCTAGAGGTCGATTGGTACTTGGTTTCGACGCCTATTCGAGTTCGGCTGCTATCGAGTTCGACCGCCTTTCAAGTGAAGGTTTTGATTCTCCATCTTGTGAAGGTTGCTGAGATTTTTAGTCATTGAGTGTGGTGCATGCGCACTGCGTAGCAGATTTAATTTTCTTTTTTTTTTCTTCTTTTTTTTTCGGGGGAAAGCGCAAGCTTTGCTGGAACCGCTGTAAGAGGAAATGAAATAAAATAATAAAATGAGGAAACCATTGGACTGAGTGGGGATTTGAGGTGATAATATTGAAATATTGAGTCTTGAGGATATTGAAAATTTGAAAGTTGAATTCTGAAATTGGACCTTGAGGGGGCCTGTACCGTTTAGAACACCACACCGCTAGCTACCCTACCAGCTCATAGTTTGAGCCCCCCCCCTCGTATTTTGTGACCTTGTAAACTACCCTTCATCCTACTACCCCCGCTACCCTGCTGAAGACTGCTACCCTCCCCCCCTCATCGATCCAGCTACCCCCCTCGTTCAAGCTACCCTTAATCGTTTCATCGATCGGCCGCTACCCCCCCCCCCCCTCGTTCGCTTGACCGCCACGACTAGCTACCCTGCCAGCTCATTGTTTGAGCTCCCCCCCTTGTCTTTTGTTCGATTGTAAGCTACCCTTTCTCATCCTACTATCCCTTGCTACCCTGCTGAACATTGCTACCCTCCCCCCTCATCAATACAGCTACCCCCCCTCGATTGTCCTCTCAGTCAAAGCTACCCTCAATCATTTCTTCAAACAAAGGCCGCTACCCCCTAGGTCTCTTGAACAACACCCGTAAGCACCACCCTACCCCCCTTTCTGCTGTAGCCACCCCCACTGAATTTTTTTTTAGGTTATTTCCAACTTGTTAAACAATCAGAACAAACTAAAATGGCACGCACAAACCACCGGTATGGATTTTATTTGATGTGTAATCCTGCCAACTAAACTAATTTTTATGATATCTTTTGATTTCTGCTGGGGTCTTGCCTGCTCTTCTGTGGTGCTTGTAATAATGTCACATTGATCTGTTTCTTCATGACTGTCGGAATGTTTGTGACCTCGGGGCCCTGAAAAATGCTGCCGGGGACCGATGCCGCATCAGTCGTGAGAACAGATCAAGTAAGCTGGCAAACACTCGTAACAAGCAGAAGAAGAGGGTGGAATTCCATGCACGTTTGCAGGAGCGAGTCATTGGTGTTGACATGTCTACATTAAAATCAATCCGCTGGCAACGTTTGCGCTATTACCCCAAAACACGCCTCTATCCAACCGTCCCATTCGACAAAGAGAAAGACAAACCTCTCCGCCATCCGACCCCTGATGAAGTCTCCAAGGCATGTGAGCTTGTGGATCGCAAGTTCTTCCTAATGAATTTCGGCCGCGTGGTTCTTGTGGATCCTAATGATGAAGACTCAGTCATTGCCGTCATGGAGTTCACCCCTTGGGATCAGTTAACCGAAACCGATAAAGAAAACCTCAACTTCATATCGACTTTTCTTCATCAATCCAAAGAATTCGTCAATCCTGTTGGCTCTTCGACACGCTCTTGGGGTGGTAAGATGTGGGGGATTGGTTGGAGAAAGTCTCAAGACTTTATGCAAAAATTTGGAAGGTATATCAAAGCTTTTCCTCCAAGTAAGATGGAAAAGTTTGATAAGCTTTTCCAACAATCAAAACTTCTCAGTGAAATTCTTGGTAATTATTATAAAAGTTTGTCTTCCTGTGCAGTTGAGCATAGCCATGCTCTTATGGAACATTTTAATCTACCATCTTTTGATTCACTTTCCTTTGGTGAAAAGCCCAGTCCCAATTCCTGTTCACCTCATCTCACTTTCACTACAGATAATTTTTTTAATCCTCCCCATAAAGATCATAATGATATATCCAAGTGGGCTTTTGTTATGTTTATTCCCATCTACTCTGCTACTGGCAAATTAGCTGGTCCTGAATCTGGTTATGATATTAAAGGTGGTCCTTTTGTTTTCCCTTCTTTCCATACTGGTATTAGTTTTGACAAACAACATGGTATTGTTAAAATGATTTGGCAAGCCAATAAGTATAGACATTGTACTCTTCCTTACTTCTCCCCATCTGGTTCTAAAGAGTTTACTCGTCTTGGTTTATCACTTCAGATTACTACTTCTATTGTTAATGCTGTTCTAAAAGAAGCCAAAGGTCATTATAAAGACCCTCTTCATTATTTTGGTGATCACTTCTATTATATGTTTTGTTGTCTAGCAAAAGGTACTTTATTAGCTGCTTTATTTTGTTTTCATTACTTCCTTTTTATATTTTCATTCTTTTTTTAAGTAGTAGTTTCAATTGTGCAATTTTATAAGTAAAAAATTCAATAAAAAACAGATTCTACCATATTTTTATTCTGATAACGAAGAAAATCATCTGTTAGATTGATTACAGAGGAAAATTACCAAGTGAGCAGAATACATGAATGAGTGTGTAGGAACAATTTGCAATTTTCCATAAAGATTGTCATTGGTTCATAGATTCACAATAGTCTTAGCATAATCTACATTCAGAACTTCAAGAGTCCAGTACAAGTTATTGAACTATTTGTTCTAATGACGTCATTCTTATCCTTTAAGCATATTCTTGATTCCTTACACACACAAAAGTACCGGTTGAGTTTGTGAAACCTAATTGATCTTGAAGTTCTCTGAGTTCGCTCGCATGTACCGTTCTCTCTCTTTTCTCTTCTTCAATCAAATTGTTTCTTCAAACTCGGTTCGCTAAAAGATCAAACCTATCTTTACAGGTTAGTTATCATTTTAATTCAACCTTTGTTAACCTTTCTTACAACTCTTTTATCATTTTCTTAGGTTTGCTCTTTTGTTCATCATTGGTCATATCAATCATCCTTGTGATCTGATATCACCTTATTCTCAAAGGTGTGTATAAGAAATCAAATCAAATTGTTTCTTCAAACTCGGTTCGCTAAAAGATCAAACCTATCTTTACAGGTTTGCTCTTTTGTTCATCATCGGTCATATCAATCATCCTTGTGATCTGATATCACCTTATTCTCAAAGGTTTGCTCTTTTGTTCATCATCGGTCATATCAATCATCCTTGTGATCTGATATCACCTTATTCTCAAAGTCCGTTGTTCAATACAAGTATGCCAAGTTATTTGAATAGAATATGAAGAGAAATTGGGAAATTAAGTCAGGATCATATATAATCCAGTCTCAGAACTCCAAGAATGCATTACTGGTGTTCTCAGTTATACTTTATGGCAACATGTTTCACAGTAATACCTAATTAATTTTTTGTTGTAATTGATGATAATATAATTCATAATGACCTCTGTTCATCACAATTCACATTTATAATTATTGATGATAACAATATGATTCACCACAATACCTACATCATGAACTTAGTATTGTTTTAGTTAATGATAACATAATTATCACTATAAGCTGTGTTTATCAAGTGTGTGAAGGGAGATTCAAATACTTGAATCTTGATCTAACATGTGCTATGTGAAATTTATAATATTATCTGAAATTGCAAAGGAATCAAATTCAAATGATATGGCTTACCTCCTTACTCTTAGTTTAGATCATAGAATTTGAATCCTGTTCTCAGAATTACCTCTCCATTAATAAATACTGCATTCAATAAAATTTGAGTATCCAGGGAGCCTATGAATAATTCTACTATAGTATTACTCACTAAACCATTCATGACTGATGTGATGACACCTTTTTGTATCTGAAATATAAAAACAAAAGCCAAGATTCCCAATCCCAAGCTATTTTCTTGAATTGATGTACCATAACATCATGAATGATGGAATTGATGGTTTTGATCCGTACATGCATGCATGCAATTAATCAGTTACTTGCATGTATCTCTCTCATATTTGGAGTATTGGATGCACAATCTGAATTCAACTTCAAGAAACCCCAAAGTAGATTTAAATGTTTCATAATCTGAGTATTTGATCCATTGTCTTATGGATGAATTTTGTACTACTCTGTCTTCATTTCATCATTTTGTGGGAGTTTATTAAAATAATATAGATTTTAGATTAAGTTTGGAAAAGAATGCTGAGAGAGAAGTGTGTATGCTGATATGATACTTGTTGAAAAATAACATTGAGATTTTGAAAGGGGTCTGGTGTCATTTTGTCATTTTAATTTTGTTGATTCACAATTTGCTTGTGAATACTTGCACCAGCCTTTCCCAATTTTTTTTGTTTTTATTTTCCTTCATGGAATTGGTCAGTTGTTGCTTTTGTTATTTTGGTTTTTACTTTTTTGAGGTTTGGATTTATATATTGTATATTTTGTCATTATGTTCTTTTGTTCTTTTTCTTATTTTATGTTTTTTCCACTTTTAGAATCGTTTAATTTTCTATTCTTTTAGTTTTTGTTGATTGACATTTCTGTTTTTCTTTTGAGTGAAGAGTCTCCGCTGGTCTGTTTGTGGGACCCACCCAGTTGGGCCGGGTGCATGTGATGTGGTCCCCGGGGGGTGAAAATTTTTTCGGGTGAGAAAAAACAAGTGAGGGCCGCACAAGCCAGCTGGACCTGACACGTCACAGCGAACTCTGATCCAACAATTGACTCACTTACCCAAACAACAACCACCATCACAGCCAACTCCAATCATTCAATCAACCTGCTTACCCCAAGAACAACCACCGACTGCAAAATCTAGGTCAACATGTCGAGCCAACCAACCCAATCTTCCATGTCAAACCAGTCTGGCAATGTAAGCGATGCCATGGAGGTTCAAACTCGTCAATCCTCACAAGTCACTACCCCTATGAAGCGATCAGGAATGATTCAACCTTCACCAGATTCCCGTTGATCAATCACCCAGCCACTTCTGTCAGAAAGACCAGCTATTGATCCCAGCAGTCAAACCAAGAAACGAACTGAAGCTCCCACCGATTCAGATTCTACCCCTCAAATCACTCCAGTTCAGTCTCAGAAGCCACGCAACAAAGAAACAACCAAAAAAACCAAGAAAACCACTGGCGCCACCTCAGTTGGCAACTCTGAGGCAAACCCTGGAACCACGATCGACCTTGCGCAGGACTCTGATGAAGAAA